ATATAAAAAGATATGAAAAGATATGAAAAGATGTAAAAGAATGTGAAAGAATGTCAAAAGATATTAAAGGATAAGAAAAGATGTTTGAGATCATCATCCAAGTGTAATTGTTTCATCAAAATTAAAAATGATCTTTCACTATATTATTCTATTATGTATATGAATATTATATTACAAGTTAATAAAAATATAAATCCCAAATATTAAATAGAATATAATATTTAAAAATAGAAACATGATAATAAATATAATAATAATAATATAAAAATAGAGATATTTTTAAAATAAATAAAAATTATAATAAAATGTAATTTTTTATAACTAGAGAAAGATTAAGAAATTAAGAAATTTTATGTCATTATGATAATAATATTATAAAAATTATAAGCATTTAATAATTTTTTATTAAAAATAATAATAATTAAGAATATTTAATCTTTTATAACTTTTTATTTAAAAATTTTTTATTTTATATTTTTTAAAATAATTAAATTATTATATTAAAATTTAAGTATTTTTATATTAATAATAAAAAATTTAATATAATTTAATAAGTTAATTATAAAAAAATAAATTTTAAATTTTAATATAAATTATCTTTTATAAATAATAATAATTTTAGATAATAGAATATTTTAATTTTTTACTAGTAAAAATTAAAGTATTATATTATTAATAATAAAAAAACTTAATTTTTATATTATTATAATTTAATAAAAATTATTTAAAATATATAAATTTTATATATATATATATAGTCAAACTTTTTATAGTTATTATAGTTAAAAATATAAAATTAACTAAAAGAAAATATGACTATAAAAGTTAATAATTAAAAAACTTAAAAAAAATAATTATAAAAAAATGACTATAAAAAAATATTATTATAAAAAATTTAACTATATTAATATTTATTAAAAAATTTACTTAAAATTATTTGCTAAATAATATTAATATTATTTTTTTTTAATTAATTTTTTAAGTAAAAAAATTAATTTTAAAAACAGTTAAAAAAATTTATTATAAAATTTATTAATTAAAATTTTGTAAAAAATACTATATAAAAATTTTACTTATATTTTTTATTATATAATAAAAATTTATTATATTTTATTAAAATTTTACTAAAAATTTCTTGTAATCTAATAAATAAACTTATTTAAAAATAATAAATAAAAATTCTTTTATTATTACTTTTTATTTGATTTTAAAAAATAGATAAGTTTTTTATTATTAATTATATATTTATATATATAATAATTTTAATTTTAATTTTTTAATAATTATCTTATTAAATTATATCAGATTTTTTGTTATTAATATAAAAATATTAAATTTAAATTTTAATATATTAAATTTTAAAAATTTTAATTTAAAAATTATTAATATAATTATTTTTATTATATTTAATTAAAATTTTTTTATAAAAAAATTGTTATAGTAATTAAAAAACTTATAGAATCTAATTTTATATTATATTATATTATTTATATTAAAAAATTTTAGGATAATTTAATCTAAAATTATAGAAGATCAGATATTTTTAAAATATAATTTATAATAAAATTAGCAAATAAATTCGATAAAAATAGAGAGATATTCAAAATTAATTAATAAAAAAATTAATCTAGTATAATATAATATCTTAGTATTAAGTAATTTAATTTATATAAAAATATTAGTAATTAATTTATTTCATTAGACTAAATTGAATAATAATATTTTTATATAAATTGAATACTATGATTAATTATATAATCTGGTTGTATTTAGTTCTAATTTTTACTCTTAATGCCACCAACCAAAACCCAATTAAAATATCCGAAAAATCGTGTGGCAGCGTTAATTGAATCCTATGGCAATTATACTCGGTGTTAGTGACCAGAATTAATCACATTTCACTTTATTATATTGTCTGATGAGAAAAAGTTACTCATAAAATTGACTGTAAATAAATAGTTCTACATGTATATATTTCACCGCATAATAAATCTATTTTGTATGGATTATAAATCTATACGAAATCCAGGGCCGATTCTTGATTATGAATGTATTCGTTATTGTTAAACTTTATCCGTAAAACACTTGTTTCAGTGAATCATTATCGAAGAAAGTATTATTAGGATCATATTTAGCGCGAACTTTTTCAAATGTAGCAATACGATCACCCAATGCTTTGTGAAGATATTGTTTAATACCAGGCACAGATTCCCATTCTTTTGCCCAATGTGGTCTATGATAAAAATTAGTTCATGAGAACAACGTTGCTTATTTTTGATACGATTCTTTCAAAAGAGAATTCAAAATTTCATACCTAGCTCCATATTTGCTCATGAGTTCTTGGCTTACTTCTGTTTGAAAGTCTAACCAGCCAGGAGTGTTTTTGTATGTGGTCAATTCAAAGAAGCTATAAACAGCATTTGGATCGCTGTCGAATGCCGGGGATAATAAAGCGGTAGAAGCTCTTAGGAGTCTGAAAGCCACGCTAATATTTATTGGGAACTTGCCTTTTCGTGCATATTCGCCGATCTAAATAAAAATTACGAATTTTTAGAAAAAAGCCAAAAAATTAAACAAACGAATAAAAAATCTTACTTTATTTATAGTAAAAGAAAATGCCGTAGCAATGTTTGTGAAGTCTGGATCAGCTTTAACCACAAAGGTTGAATCTTCAGCTACAATAAGTTCAGAATCAGGCAAAAAATGAAGAGCATCTGTGGCTATAAGCACTTGATTAGTGACAAGTGTTTCCTTGACGATGTCATTCCATTCGAATCCTTTCGTAATCGGAGTAAGATTGGGGGTTTTAAGCAAGAGATCAAAGGAGTGCCTGCTAATATTATAAAATAACTGAAGTAAATGATCAAGATCCAATTGACTCATTGTTGGCGTTTCTTGTGTTCTGACGAATTGTTTTATCCAAATATCATCATTTGATAAGTCGATTTTCCCTTTATTGAATGGCCAGTAAATAATATCAAGAGAATCAGAGGTATCAAGGGTTTTTTTGATGCTTGCAGGGTTAAGCCAGGTCTTTATTGGGATTACAATATCATTGACACGTAAGTTATATAATGGCTCGACGCGAAAAGTAACAGAATAAATAATGCCTAGTAAACCTTTAAGCAAATAAAAAAAATTTAGTTTATTATCAGAAAATGTCATACGTAGTATTATGGTAAAGCTCACCTAAATTTAATTTTGCTGCGCTGAATTCGACTGGATCTTTTTCATTTGAAAATTCTTGCAATTCACCATCTTCAGAAACTATTTGTAGTTTAACAACCAAGTCAGATATACTTGGACCTCCCGTCTTGCAACCATGAGCACCAACTGCTATAACTCCAGACGCGCTAAAAAAATTGGGGACGGTCATTGATTCAAAAGCCAAAGGAGGATTATTTTGTAATAATGCATGTTCTATCGTCTTGATTTGAGTACCTAGATTTAACGATGACAATAAAACTGCATTAACAAAAGACGAATACATGCTATCTTGACTCTTCATTAATTAAACAATCTTTTATACCAGATAAAACGGTAACAGTCCATCCATTTTTATCTGTGTTTGTTATTTCGACAACTTTATTTAAATTATTCACAATAACCAAATAATCTTTGGTGACCGACAACGATGTCCACGTATGTCCTCGACCCGCACATCGAATCTTTTTTCCGTTAGTTTTCGCGTTTTTTACAATATCTTGAAGATCTTCAAGAGAATTTGGTCTAAATATATATTGCGGTGTAATTACATTACCGAACCAAGTGGTAAATGATTTTTCTGAAGTCGGAGCAAAAAGACGTTTGAAGTTCTCGATTAATTCGCTTCTTACGGATTTCTGAATCCTGGATTCATAAGTTTCAAAAAATATTGAAGCAAACAATATCACTAATATTAATATCACAGCTCTATTTGAATAAGCCATATTTATTAAATTAAGATTTAGAAAACCTGCAACACAAATTTATAGCTTTTTATGTGGAAAAATGAGTACATGTAATACGTATAGAAGTTTTAGTTAACAAAACGATTTTTAAATTACAGTATTCAAATCAATGCTACACAAACTTTTCCAAACCACATACAAGGCAAACTCGTTAAGACGAAGCCACGCTAAGCCGAAATTGCATTATGACGAAGTTTTTCTGGTTTACCAAATTTTTTATTATATATAAATTCGGCTTAGTGCGAAATTTAGTAAAACGAAAATCTCGATAAGCCGAATAAATTATCTATGCCCCCGACCATCGTCTTATCGAGTTTGCCTTGTAATGCATTTTTAGTCATTGTCAAGGCCCGAATTTAGAAATAACAAAATTTGATATGACATCATCGGAACGAATATTGCGGAATATGAAATCCTACTTTTACTTGATTAAGTCATGTAAACGAAGGGTGGGCGCATATTAGCGGATACCATATTAAGGAGTGAAATTTAATTTGTCATGTAAGAGAGCTTTATATACATCTACATTATTGGGCATTCACATACATTCAACTATTCTAATTTGAATTTCGGTTAAATATTCTTTTAGCTATAAAAAAATTATTAATTCAAGTTGAAGCTTTAATTAAATTATATGTTTATTGTCCGTAAAATATTAAAATTGTTTCCATATCTGAGATTAAAGCATAGCAAATCACCATTAACGTTAACCACGGGCAAACAAAATCCTGACACAAATGTGTCGAATACCCGTTGCAGCGAAAAATCTCGTGATTATTTAATAAAGTGTAACGAAAACAATTACATGTATTAGCGTTAGTATTGTCCCGTAACACTTAAATAGGATCCCCACGAAATTAACACAAAAATTCTTACCATACATGTAGTAGCTAAAATTAAGTGATTTGATTGGTCAATCCTGATCCAAGAAATAAAGATAAAATTAATGTAGCTTCAAACATTTTTAGAAGCATAGTACTATATATTAAAAGAAAATAATGTATAGATACATGTAGATTAGAGAAAATAATGATGTTGCATTTCATCTACGCGCTGGCACTGTCACATTTCCATAACCTACTTGAACTATCGTGTCTATGTAAAAAAAAAACTCCTAATATTTTCATTTCTTTCTCCGCTTTCATGCTATACCCATTTCTTTTCTGTACACATAGAACGATATCAGTAGATATCGGTACAGGAATTAGAATTAACCACATAATTGGTCTAATTATTCGCCCCAACTCTAATCACAAACTAAATTCATCAAATCACACGTATACACTTTACCTGTGACAGTACGACCTACGATACCAAACAATGTTTCCGGATGGTACAAGTTAATTATTGAGAAATGCGTGGATCATATCCAGAAAACAGACCAACTTCTGAGGAACTTGATTAATTTATCAAGCTATCGTCAATCCAGCAGATAATTACGAACTGAATATTTGCATGTTCAGTACTACAGCTCGTTAGAATATCCTAAAACAGCTGAAGATATTAAAGAGCGTTTTAAAGTAGAAAAACAGAGATTAGATAAACTTGATCATTCCTACGAATTAAAACAAAAAACGGTGTGAATACAATTTACATTTTTCAAATTTTACACCACAAAATTAATTTCAATTCCTCCAATTGGTCAGTAATTTCTATTATTAAGTATCAAACAAAATTAACATTTCATATTAATTAAAAACTCAATTGAATATTTAAAACTTACAAATGCCTGTTTCATACGAAGGTAAAACTATTATTAATGTTAATGTTAGTTTTTTATTGAATTCTTTGGTGGTCAAAACAGATTTCGATTTAAGTATTATATCACATGAAATCGAATATATAGTGACGTGTGCATGAAAACCACGGATTTATCAACGTTCAATTTCTTTGTATGTATGCGTATATTTATTATTTCAACCATGGCTTTTATCTATTAATATATTTATTCATATATATATTTTATGTATGTTTTTATAATTTATCATTAATGATATTTTATGAATGACTCATTGTAAAAGTCATCAGTCTAGAGTGTCCAGTTTCTGCGCATGCGATTTGTTTGAAATTTATGGTCGCTTCGCGCGATCTATCTCCTCGGTACATAATGCCGGAAAAAATTGATAATACTTTTTTTACTATCGAAAATTTAGAAACGCATGCATGAATAAAATCAATTCATATTGTCACTTCATATTTATTTATTTGAATATTTCACGTTCAGTTTATATTTTCAGACGAAGGTCAAAATTCACTAGATCTTTGTGGTGAGTAAGTTTTCATATCGAAGGGATTATTAATTTGGTGGGTATAATTTGAATGTATTGATTATAATTGAAATATATCGACAGTTAATAAAAAGAAAATGAATTCCTTTCACTACATCATTATACTGTTATAAGTGGAATAATATACGCGATGACATAATTCACATGGAAAATTGGAAAAATGTTATATTAATTAATATCATTATTAGATATGGAGACAGCAATTAAAAAAAATATATATCGTTATTATGGAGATAACAATTGTGAAAATAACAGTAGAATTATAGAAAAAATATTTCATATGAATCTCCTTTATCTCCATCAGAATTGAGAACAGTCTTTTTTAATAAATCAAATGACATCTTCCTATGTCAAAAGGAATGGAATTCGAGAAGGGAGTTTAATCTTACAAAGCGAAAATATTAAATGCAATCGCGGTTAGAAGTTACACTGCCACTAGGGAGAATTGCGTTGTTATCCTCAATTCAAGAAGTTAGGTCGACTAGCAATTGTGTTATTAACAAAGGTCGGAGGCTAGACCAAATGATTTACGCAAAATGGGTTTCATTGGGATTTTAAAGGTCTCTATGTCAATCTTACACGGAGATTGTGCAGATAAAGTAAATAATATTTGTAACAAAAATAATAGCTATTTTTTTTTTTTTTTTTTTTTTTTTCCCCAAAAAGGGAGGGTGAAGCAAGAACCCGTTTATTGAATAAATGCGTGATA